GTGTTCTAAGATGGAGCTGCGGGGACATCGCTTTTCTCCTTTGTAAAACCATGCTGGTAAGTGTTCGGTGATACGCTTGGAAAGCGAACGCTGGGTACGGCCGACATACCTGGCTCCACACGAGCAGGTGAATTGGTAGATACACATTGATGAGGCCAACAGTGGTAGCTTATCCTTCACGTTCACATGAATCATAGGTTTTGTGGAGAAAGTTAGTCGTAGTTCAGCTGCGAAGAAAGTCTTCTTGAGTGAGCGCGACAGTCGATTTTTTAGTATTTCCGCAGATATATCTCCATTGAATTGAAGGTTTATGTAGAGTGGTTTCTTCGGGACGCTATGCGTGGGCGTTTCAGTTATATTCAATTTATTTCCTTTCCACATTGCTGTAGATTTTACAGGAATCATAGGACTGAATCATTTCACGCAAGTTAATTGTTCATGTATGAAACTAAAGTTAACAGTTTGACATTTGGATAATACCATTGGTTCATGTGTCACTCTGTAAATTTTGAATTTGTTACTGACCTGACTAACGCTCAATTTCTAGTCATTTATTTTACGTTATCCAACTTATTTGCTCAATTTCAGTTCTAATTTAAATGGCATTATTCTCTACCCCATTTCTACTTAGTCTCTACCTGTAATTAACTCTGTTGCTATCCTGACCTAAGTTGAAACATTTTAGTCAGTTATATTACATCATCCAACTTACTAACTCAATCTTACTTTAGTAGCTGTCTAATTAACCTTGTTTCTATATTAGATCATTCTTGTATTACCCGACTAATTATCTAAACTTGACAAACCTCATGTACACACACATACACACACAAATAATTATGTATAAATGTGATTGTACAGCTATGTGAACGAATTCGCCGAGAAGAGTCTCGTCGCTGAACGTCTTCTCTTTTTCATAATTTTGAATCTGTAATTCTAGATTAATTTGTCTCTTCATATTACTGTTTAGGCATTAAAGTACAGTTGAAACGTAAAGTTTTTCTTGTTATCTTCATGTTTATTCTATCTACAATTCAAAACACAGTTAAGGAAATACAACTTAATGTTCATGTAGTTTATACTACAGATCTTGACAACCTCTACCTTAATTATTATATCCCTTGAAAGATAACTTACTTACTCCCTCTAAGATGGATAAAAAGCTGAACTCGGAAATCATTAGTTAGAGAACCATTGTAAAACCAACTGGGAGTACTGGACAGCCACTTCGTCCTAGTTTGGGACTCTTCAGCAGTACGCACCCACCGGGATTCGAACCCAGGACCTTCTGGTTGTTTCAAGCTTTCATCTACTAGTCACTGCATCACCAGGGATAAACGCCTCTCTACCAATTTTGTCTTAAATAATCTGATTGAATCATGCAGCTCTATTAGTTCAGTGTGGATGATAGTCCAGTGTATAGACAAATGGCTTATATCATCTTTATGATCCACAAAAAAAATGATCACAGATTAATTTCATTAATAAGGGCACTTTAACATATATCTATCATAAATATTATTTCTTACTGTGTTGTTATTCCCACGGGTTCCAAGTGGGACACAGAGCTTCAATAACACTCCTCCAATTTAATCTAATTTTTCTTCAGTCCTCTTCATCTGGTTCCATGATTGCCCATAAGCTTTCATTTCCTCCTCATGCGCGACCGCCTCCGTGTCATTCTCGGGGTCACGCCCAACTCGCCGTGACGTCATTCAACAGTATCCTCAACGAGTGTTTCATGTATCTTCATCTCCCTCCGCACATTTGTCGGGCGATAGGTTCCGACCTTTCGTTTTTCGGTCATCTGGTCTTCAGTATCGAGTCAGCGAGAACAGGTGTCCATGAAAATCTCTATCTAGCCTGTTGGAAATGCTTTTTGTGTCATGTGAACCAAGTCTGTGAATCACTTAGAAGCACACTGACTTGACATTAGTGTTGAAAATCCAACTTTTGTTCTTTAAACTGTGAATGCAGCATATTTCCACACTGATTTCAGATTAATAATAATGTGTCATAGTTCTTTAAAGATAAAACCCATTTGTATTCACCTTTATTTATATTGGATTATTTGTAGGAAATATGAAATCTCTAATCAGCACTCTGAAAAAGATTTCAAAAAACCAAATGTCTGTAGTGTTTGGTTGATATCGATTCTAGTAGTCAGTGGTTTGTTCCCTTAGTGTTTGGAGAAAAGTCACCATCCCTTTTGTCCACACATGATTTCTACTCGACTAGTAGGTCATACTTTTCCTGAGTATCAAGATTAGGTATGCCAAATGTTCACCAATAATAAGTTTGTGTAGTAGTCAGTATTTTTAGCAACATAAATTCACTCGCGAAAATGTCATAATGATGTCACTGAGTCTGAATCTCGTTGCGGACATCCATCATTGGCTGGAATCCACATCCATCCATCTGACGGTTCCGAGAAAGAAGCTCGCGTCCTGGATTCCACTGCTAATCACCACCAAAGTAAAATAACTTGATGTTACAATGTTATGGCGGAACTCTCCCGACCAATAGCTGCTACCTTGACGTGGTGGTCGGGCTTGCACATCGCGATGACCCAAAAAGCTACACTGGCTGGAACATATGTTCCTGAGGGTCCTACTATGCCAGGAAGGCTGTTAGTATGGCGATTAGACTAAAAGCAGTTACCGGAATGGTGTAAGAATCTTTCTTATACTATGCTGGGGAACAGGGGTGTAACAGCAGTGAGGTGTTTCCCTCAGATGACCAGCATGCCAGCTATGCTGTCTCTCCACTCTGGAGAGAGGGGGTTAGAAAAGGTCAACTCCAAAAGTTGTACATTCTGACATACCCTACGGTGGTCCGTAACCGGCGGTAAGTTTACTAATACGGAACCAATCCCAGAAGCCAGTTCATACGGGCCGTGTGTGACCGGCCTCAAGCAGTTGTCCCCTGGGCTGTGCGGTCACGCAACACTAACCCTCTCTCTGTTTCAGGTACCCGAAGAATCAAGCAACTTCCACGGTGTGGGCAGCCGAAAAGTAACAACCGTCCACACACTTCCTAAAGCACACGAAGCCTTTTTACCTTAAAAATTGTTGGGCTCATTGTGTTACAGGACATTTCAGTCTTTTCCATACTTGTTCTTTTCTGAATTCATTTGTCTCTAATTTTGTGGTGATGGTGCGTCAGTGGTTCAATGGTAGAATGCTTGCCAACCACTGACATGGTTTGGGGTTGGATTCCCATTTAAAGTAAATCACTTCCAGTGAAACTTCAAAGCTTAAGTTTGTAGCTATGTACATATGTTCCGTTCGGAACGCAAACGAATGAAGAAAAATACTTCGTAGTGTAAAACATTTTATTGGTTGGAGGATTTCATCATGAGCTGACATCAGTTAGGAGGAACCATTGGACCTTCTGATTACAAGGCGAGCTTGTAGACTATTCGGCCGCTGGGACCCCATCCAATGACCCTAGAAAGAAATAGCTGTCCAGTACTACTAGGTTGTTTTCCAATAGTTCTCTAACTGATGTCAGCTCATGATGAAATCCTCCAATCAATCAAACAAAATCCCTACAAAACCAATACTTAAAACATTTTGCATTAACTAATCAACACTTAGTTGGTCATCATATGTTTAGCAATATGATACCAAACGACTCTAATGTTTCCAACAAAAAACTCAAGGATGTGCTCAATTACTGCTTGTTAGTAATATTTCCTGTACAATATAATCATGTGCAACATTTCATGTTTTCATCACTAGTTTCTTTTGTCAGAATTATTCACATTGTATATGTACTATTCGTTTCTTTTTTGTGATTGGATCATAGAAATGATTTTGTGATTCTTTTCATAATTGTGAACATTTAGCTTGTGGTCAAATTAAACTACCTTTAATACTCCTCCACTTATAAACGCATTTAGAAGGAAACGGCGATTTAAGCAAAAGAATATACTTCGTTTTCAATAAGTTCTTCATACATTAATGTACAGGCATTGATGAGGCACTAATTGAGAAGAAAAATATTTCTTCACTCAATTTGTTGTTTTAACCTAATTTTGTTTTTCGTGTTGATTGATCGTATGGGACTGTATGAAACATTCGGCCTTCATTGACGTGTCGGCTTCTAGTACGGGCGCTTTATAGATGTCTGACGATTAGCATGTTATTATTTGATGGATGGCAACTGAGAGTGAAATCGGGGATGCGCTTTTCATCGTATCTGGGACTACTTGTTAGCTGGGTGTAGCTGCTTTCCAAGTGACTGATGGTTTCCCCCCCCCCACTGAGACTCGAACCTTGAACCGATCGTTTCGAACGCTTTGGCGTTAATTTGCATTTTTCATTAATTGATTATGTTGTACCGAAATGCCCGATCTTTGTTGGCATATTGACTCGGGAACACTACCACTTACTGGTAATGCAGCCACATCCGGACGACGAGTCCCGAATAAGGCGAAATGCCCATCCTGGATTTCACTACTTTTACATGAATTAACTAGATAGCGAGTAAGCTCCCCAGCTTTCGGTGACTACCGAGTTCTATTATTCAGTTGTTCACTTTGGTCGCTAAGCCAAATGAGTCTTGGTGTTAAGAGTCAATCCACAGAAAGCCTTTGGTTATCATCAGTCAGAGGATAAATCTGAAACCTTAGGGTAACCCATGTTCCTTCTGAGATTCAAACCTGCACTAATTGTTCTTTTGTTTCGCCTATTTTGCTGAGTAGTTTAGCTACTCATACTACTACCTTTTCCAGTGATCTAATGAGTTAAATCTCAACTCTTCAAGTTAAGCATTTGCATTCCTCTTCGTCTATTAAAGTAATGCTAGGGGAGTTCATCCTATGGGAATACACGTGATTATTGTGTCACAATTATCTGTTATAATTGATTGACAAAGTTCATTTCCGACCACTTAAAGTTGTGTTTTTCATTCTTACTATAATTTATATTTGAGTTTAAGTTATCTCTCAATAGTTATGTGATATAATAAAATTTGTATTTATTACTTCTCTATAGGAAAACAAATCAGAATCAATTGTTGTTCCATTCGCTTCACCTGAACCATCTCGTCTAACAGATCAGTCAAGTTTATCCCCAACTAATCTTGCTCCAGTTCCATCTTCTGTATGCCTTACACCCATTGATTTACCACCAGACAATGACAATGAAACTAGCAATAAAACACCACGTCGGAAAAGTACAAACAATTCAAAAAAAGGAAGTAAGAAAACCCAAGAAAATGCTAAAAAAGCGACAACAGGTCAAGATCGCAAGTCATCTGGATTTCTTAATTTACTCCAGAAGCTAAGACCAAATAGCAAAGGTGAAAGTCAACTGCACAAAGCAGCAATTCGTGGTGATGTCAATCAAGCACGAGAACTCCTTACGGCTGGTTTATCACCAGATATTCGAGATCATGCTGGTTGGACACCGCTTCATGAAGCTGCCCTACGTGGACACTGTGAAGTATGTACCAAAAATTGATTTCAATCATACATGATTCATGTTTAGCAATTTCACTATGCAAATTTATATTGATATTGCCAAATTTACCTGTTCTATCCGATTTCCTTTTAAAGGTTGCTAAAGCCTTGATCAAGGCTGGTGCTACTGTCGATATTCCCGGTGGGCCAGAATTGGAAACACCATTACATGAAGCAATACAAAATGGTCAGGCGAACTTCTGTCAACTGCTACTTGATCACGGTGCTAATCCCATGTTTCCAAATAATAATGGTATTACACCAGTACAACTTGTTGATAATAGTATATGCTATGTAAAAGATTTACTAAATGCTGATTCTAAATCATCGTCCAAATATAATGCTTCTTTGAAGATATTGTCTGATATTAGAGCAATGATTGATAAAGCATTGTTGTCCTCTACTTCATCGAATAAAAATTGTGTTACTGATAGCAGTAGGACTCCGAATCTATTGGCGATTTCTTCTGCAACCACTTTTATAGAAAGGTAAGTGCTATATGTTTTTTAGACTGTATATCATCACTGTTTTGTGTGTGTTACAAAAATGTGCTTACTGTTAGATAAGCTATTTTCTCTATGCTATTGCGGTTGTACACTTCTCAGAAGTCCTGCTGTTTTCTGGTCATCTTCGCCTGTGATTGAATCTTTAGCGGATTACAATCCGCTAATCAATTCCTCATAAATCATTCAGACGAATGATTTCATCATCCTTTTTTAAATTTGTCTGAAAATATATACTACTGACTGCTTAAGATGAGTAGTCTAAAACGGTGTCGAAAAAACAGTTTTCGTATTATTTACTTGTGTAAACATAAGTATTTGTTATACAGGCTTCTGCTGAGCATTCCTGTTGCTTTTGTCTGTCTGTTTTCGACATAGAACTTGGCACCGATGTGCGACAGTTTGAGTCGCCACACTCCCCACATGTAGCACACAAAGCAAGAGAAGAAAGTAGAAATGCATAATAAAGAGAGTAAACAGAGGTATGAGACAAAGGAAGAGTAATAACGAAGAACAATATAGTTTCATTGGAAATCATAAGTCAAAAGGAGTGGATGCATCTTCGCCAGCCATTGAGAACGATTTTGAGCCATATCACCAATTGTTTCCAACCACTGGTTTTTACCGTCCCGAGGACCCTAACCAGGAAGTCTACACCTTCCTACGTGGCTTAAACTAACTGTTGTAGATTTCATTGACTGATGAAGCCATGTTTTGGTTTGACCGCCGCTAGCTCTTTTCCAGCCTGACCCTATATCAACTAACTTTGCACGTCGGTCGAGGAAGGCGGTGACTAGGCATACGTAACACATATCCCAACCATCTCAGTCGATGTAATTTCACAGCCTCGTCAACTGATTTCCTCTCCTTACCTAGCGCTCGATATCCAACCTCACCATCACTCACCTTATTATACCACTTCACACGGGAGATAGAACGCAGTCACCTACGGTCAAAGACAACTAGCTTTTTTATGTCCTCCACTCTCAATGACCAGGTCTCACAGCTGGCCATAAAGGAGGACAAAGCGGACTGATGAGCAGTACATACATCCTTTGGTCGATAGTTGGATATCATGTCTACGCCAGAGTCGACATAAACTGACGTATGCGAAACTAGCCGTCTGTATCCGTACTCAGCTGAGATTTCGTCAGAGATCAACCCGTTGGCGTTGGCTGATGGTACTTCCCAAATAAGTGAAGCGGTCAACGTGCTCTACCGCTTCACTCCCTATTTCTAAACTGGGAGTCAGTGTAGTCCAGTCCTGTAACATCATCTTATATTTGGCGGGAGCGAATCGCATACCAAACATTCGTAGATTGCAGCTCAACGTGTTCAGAAGACTCTGCTCTATTTCGTCAGCGTCCTCGCCTAGAAGGACTACATCATATCATCTGCACATTCTAAGTCAACGAGATTACCCCTTGGTAGCAAGTCAATCCCTGAATCTCTAAAGTGAGTTAGGGTTAAGTCCATTAGTACATCTATGATGAAATTGAATAGAAATGGGTTAATGGGCATCCCTGACGGACACCACTAGTTGTCACCACTTCAGATGACAACTCGCCGTAAACCCTCACCTTACTGCATGAGTTCGAGTAGAGTGAGTGCCCTAATCGGTGCAATGTATTTTTTCGGCATTCCCTTAACAGCCAAGTATCGCCAGAGTACTTTTCGGTCGACAGAATTGAATGCCGCCTTAAGGTAAAGAAATATAATGACTGTTGGACGCCGGTAGGAATCCCTATGTTCTAGAATTTGTCGAAGGGTGAATATGTGATCAATACACCCTCTTCCTGGTCTAAAGCCTGCCTGGCTCTCTTGCGTTTGTGCCTCCCGAGCACTACTTAGTCAACGCAATATTACTGAGTCTAGGACTTTAGATACTATATTAGTCAAGCTAATGCTTTTGTTGCTTTTGAACTGTGTGAATTTTACATGTCTGTTATTATATATAGGTTATGTAGTATAAAATGGTAAATAATATTAAGGTTAGGCGTGTACTGGTAAGAGGGGTAACTCAGTCAATGAAGTTGTGAAGTCCTACACCTTTTGAGATGGCTAAGACACATGTTGCACACGCTGTGCCACCACCTTCCTCAACAAGTAATGTTAGTCGACGGAGGATTTAGCTGAAAAGGAATAGGGTTGGTCAAACTAGAACCTGGAATCATTAATCCGTGAAGTCTTTGGTAGTTAGTTTGAGCCAATTATGTATGAAGGTGTAGACTGTCTGGTTGGGGTCGTCGGGATTTTAAGAACCAATGACTAGAGACTGCTGGTGATATGGATCAAATTCGAGTCGGAATGGCATATATGCATTCACTGTATGCAGTCCCCTCCCATATCCACTAAACCGTTGTGTTTTTCCATGCTACCATTCTTTCTTCCGCATATTTTTGCTTGTCACAGTTCTTTGGAATCTCTTTTTTCTCCTCTCTTTTGTCTTCCTCAATGTGTTACATGAAGTGTAGTAGCAACCTAAGGTACTACACTTCTGTACAAAGTTCTATGTGAAGACTCAGTCAGACAGTCAGTCAGTGAATGGTTATGCACACCTAAGCTGTTTAAGATGGTCAACATATCGACTGTGACCGTGGAATAAATGGTAGCTGTGAGATACCAGAGTTCTGGCTAGAGTGATGCATGTTGTCCGATTTGGTAAATTGTCCTGACGTTAAATACTCCAATATAAAGTTGGCTGAGTGACTTTAAGAGACTATCGGTAGTGTTTTTTTCCTGCTGTTATGGCTCTGTTATTGTTTAAGGAGTGAAGAGAAGGTTTGGGACCTGTGTATGTACAAAAACTTGGCACCAGTCAATGAAATCCACAACAGTTGGTCTAAGCCACGTAGAAAGGTGTAGACTTCCTGGTTGGGGTCCTTGGGACTGTAAAAACCAATGGTTGGAAACAATTGGTGATATGGCTCAAAATCGTTCTCAATGGCTGGCGAAGATGCATCCACTCCTTGTGACTTATGATTTCCAATGAAACTGTTTTGTATTTCTTTATTACTCCTTTGTCTCACACCTCTGCTCACTGTTTCTATTATGCTTTTCTTGCACTTTCTTCTCTTGCTTCGCGTGCTACACGGAATGTGGCGACTTGAACTTCCGCACATTTGTGCAAAGTTCTATGTCGAAAACAGACAGACAGTATGGAATAATACCTAACAGTAGGAGGAAAGTGAGATGATGAAGTTGACGAAGATAAAGGTAGATGATTTATTGTCTCGAGGATCCCAATCGAGCATCCAACACCTCACTGTATGGCTGGCTCAAATCAATTGTCAAAGATTTCATACACTGGTGCCAGATTTTGGTTTGACCACCTCTAACTCTTTTCTAATCTAATCCTATGTTGGCTAACATTGCTCGAAGTTATGGGAACTCGGGAGAATAAGCCTAGTGTTTGTATATAATAAAAGAAGTTTATACTACCTTGGTTTGGGTAAATCTAATTATTTTCAATTAATGAAACTTCTCACCCTTCCTTTATTCTTCACTTCTTACGTACTTTTGTAATATTTATGCAGACTCCTATTTCCTTGTCCACTTGCATCCTTAGTATTACGTAACTTTTAATTCTTTTTTTTTTAAGATTTCGACCTAATCTAATTATTGAATTGTTTACATTATCGTGATATCCTCATTTTTCTTATCGTCACCTGTGTAAACCATTTGTACTTTTGTTATCGTTGACCTTATTATCATTATTGCTATTACTATAATCGTTGTTATCAATGACATACTGACAACATTTAACACTTATTATTTTTGATCAACACATTCATCGTCATAGGTTAAAATTTGTTTTTACATATGAAGCTCTACATAGATTAGAGTAAAACTTAAGCAAAATCTAATTGACAGACAGTACTATTCACTTATAGGGCTTGTTTTATTTTCAACAATGATAATAGTCATTTTAATTGAATTTTAGATTTTCCTGTCGATTGATTGGACCAAAGTGCTCGGTCTCAGGTTAACTTGTCGGCTTCTTGTGCAGGTGCTTCGACAATGTCTGGGCATTCGGTTCAATCAATCGACGGGAAAATCTAAAACAAAATTTTTTTGGATTACAGCTTGATTCCACACCGTTTTTTTTGGTACAAGCATGGAATTTTCAGCATGTGATATCGGTAGCCCAAATTTTGCAGACCGACCATTGATATCAGGTGTGCATCGGCAGGGGATCGAACCCCGGACCATGTTTACGGTCGGCGAGAGTCCTAACCACTGCGCCACCGACGCACAATTAAATTAATATAACCCGTTGCACAAGAGGTGGCTCTCGTGGCCCAAGTGGTCTAGTGGATAATGCTTGGGCGTTTGAAACTATGGGCAATGGGTTCGAGCCTCGGTGGGAACATCATCACTCACTATGAACTGCAGGTACATCCATCCAATGAGTCCCAAATAAATGCTCATCTTGGACTCCACTGCTAGTCACCATCCACAAATTAAATTCTAATGGCAGTATTTACTAACAATAATTAGTCAGTTAATCAACATATCTTGAATGGAGGTGATAGATAACTAAAAAATTAGTGCATCAATTTTAAAGTAGAAATATGGTGTGGAGACTACATCGACTTTTAAATTGATTACATAAGAAAAATTGAATGTGAAGTAGACTGAATAGGTAAGACAGTTGAAGTGATAATCGAATTTGACCACTGATTGATATCAGTTAGTGAACCATTGGAAGCCAGAGGAGAGTACTGGACAGCTGTTTCATCTTAGTTCGGGACTTATCAGCAGTACGCACCCACCACTGGGATTCAAACTCAGGAACTTCTGGTTACAAGACAAGCTTGTATAACATTCAGCCACTGGCCCATGAATTCTGGCTTCTACTAATTGGTGATTTTAGTGCGACCACCCACCAACCAATGTCATCGGTGGGAAGTACATCCTCACTCCTGACTAGATGGAGCTCAGTGGTCACGACTTCTTACTAGAACTCCTGGAAACTCCATCCTGTAGCAAGCATCAGATTAATTTTCGAGAGTTGTTTTGTAGGGATCCAATGCGTTTATCCAGTTTGACTGTAATTGTATGAACAAAGCAAGGGAAGTAATTGTATGAAAATTGTGAATAATGGCATTAAAGGAGTGGAAAACCTTTAGTTTTCACCTTCATGTAATGATGACCAATGTAGGAAAAGTAGTCGTACGAATTTATTCAGCTTTTTCAGATAGATTTAGATGGCTTCTCTGGGAAAGATGGACTGGCAAAATAAATTTCAGATTATTGGGGATATGATTGATAACTTTAAATGTATTGTTAATATCAACTCAAGTTGCTCTGAGGTAGAGCTACAAAGACTTTGTTTTTCAATAGTTAACCAAGCAGAATGATGTTCAGAAATCCGACTATAAACATGGTTAAATGTACACCCTATGTGAGACTAGCTCGGTAGGAAAAGTCGAATTAGTAAATGCACATAGAGCAAGCGTAATTAAGTAGTTCATCTTTATTCCCCGAACATAAAATATGTTTAATTATAAACAAACAGTGTAACTGTACAGCACTGAATGTTTCTTTTTAATCCATTCTTTAAGTGTTGTGTTATTATTTCACTAACGATTATGAAGATATATCGGTTGAGATGGCTAGGACGCGTGGTGCACATGGCAAGCCACCGTCTGTCTCGAAAAGCATTCTTAATTGACAGACAATTAAGTTGGGAAAGCGTTAAGGGGTAGTCAAATTAAAACCTGTCTTGATGCTTACTTCTCAGAGTAAACAACGTAAAATCATAGACATTTGATGATACACTTCTCTCTGTCATTGCTCATATTTCATGAAAACACTAAATTTTGAATGTTGAGAGCCAGATAGGATGCATGCTCCATTAAGAATATCAGTCATTTAACAATGTTGGGAATCTTTCCCAACTGAGTTGGCCGGGGTTTATTTATTTTGTAAATTCTAGTTATTGCCTCATTCTATGAGTTGTGCCTATTTAAAGTATAATTAAATTGGAAAGAAAAGTTTTTAATGAACTAAGTCAAGAGCTTTACATCAGTCTGTGAATGTATTGAATTGTGGGTCTGAGTCGTATGAGAAAAAGTGTGGATTTCTTTGTTGTGATTTTTATAAACTTTTGTTAAAAATCCATAGTTCTGTTTCTGTTTCATGCTACAAATATACCCATTCTATCCTGTTGTCTTCTAAAACATGTACCCTTTCTAATATTAATGTCATCATTCTCTTGTATATCCCATTGCGTGAAATTTCATTTTATTTCTTTCTACTTCTTCTTCGAGTGCTGATGTGGTTATGTATATCAACTTGGATTAATGCATTCTTACGTAATCCTCTGTTTAGGTGTGTATATATATATATATATATATGTCATTTGCGTTCTGAGTGGAAAATAGGGCTTCAAGCCTCAATTTTGAAGTTTGCCAGTAGCGGTGGGTTCTCCTTTTTCCTAGCCTAACAGCCAACCTCTTCCCTTTTTCAAACTTACTACCTACTAGTTAATGTTCTTCCACATTACTATTCTTTTTGCCTCATATTTCTGTTTATTATCTCTCTGTTGATTCCTTCCTTACTCTCTCCTCTTGCTTTGTGTAATATAATGTGGTGTGTGGCAACTCGAACTGCTGTACATCTGTGCAAAGTTCTTCGTTGAAACCAGTCAGATAAGGTTTAGAATTGTGTAAGCCGAGAGTCGAACCCTTTAATTTAAGTGTCTTACGCGTAGTCCTGATATAACAGAGGCTGTACGTGTGCTAATGGATACATAAACACTGATATATCATTGCACATTTATTTTATTCATCCATTACTATAGATTCTTTGTTTAGAGATTGAATTATTGTTTTCATAGCTGCTACTTCGAATTTTTCAAGTAAATTAATATTATGTTCGGTGTAGGATATTTTCCTTGTCAACGAAGTCATCTTCACTAGCTGTACAGTCGTATTTATATTTACCAAAAACACAGCAGTCGATTATTGAGTAATGGGAGGGGCAGTAACATACTTGATGCAATTGCTCAGAAATGGCTTCAAAAGTAAAAATAAAAGTTACAAATTACGTAATACTCAACGGGACAAAGGAAGAATGGATTGGAAATTCGATAAGGTTAAAATTGCTATTGAGTGAGAACAAAGGTAGTTGAGTGTCAATTTGACAAGTGTGAAGAGGGTGAGAAAATGTACAAAAGGAACATATGAGAGTGATAATAGTGAATTAATTATTAAAGTGAAAGCATATTAATCATTAAAAACTGAAAATTACAGGGAACAACTAATGAAGAGGTTGGGACCATCCTTCAGGATTTATCGAGAAAAACATGAAAGTAAAACAAAAGCCTGAAAGAACCCAAATAGTACCAGAGAGACTACTGTTTGCGAACAAAGATACCGCAGTTGAAATCCTGAAGAATCGCTTATGCACATCACTGAGGATAACCTTCTTTGTGGCTGAACTTCGGATCCATTTCTACAGCTGACAGATGATCAATGGATGTGTGAAGGATAAACTGCCGCTTTGGGCCACTTCAATGTGTGTTTTCTAATTCACTTGTTCCTGTGGAGTTATTTATATCGGCCCCACAAAGCACACACTTCCCAAATACATCTCTAAACATTATCCGGTATGGTTAGCAAAAAGATAATGCAAATAGTTACTAGCTCAATTCTTGATCACTTAGTGAATTCAAGCCACGCAACTTCCACTGGAGTCGTCTCTCAAGATTATCTATGAGGTGAGGTCAAATTGTACAAAGGGCGTCAGGTTTCGGCATTCGTGTATGGCGAGGGTGCTGACAATTCATCAATACAACTTCGAACTTTGTGTACAGAAAAAGTCTGTCCAGTCTCTTATTCTACCTTGCTCTTAGTCTCTTCATTGATTTCCCTGAAGAAGTTCGGGCTAGATTGCCTAAAGAAACGTTGGAATTAGTCATTTCAATCTCGCTGAGATTTTACAAATATAATTTTTTACAAAAGTTGGAGAGTCTTTTCTCTGAATATTGTGTTCTTAATGCTACGATGGGAATTATTAAATTATCTTCATTAATCGTTCCCTGTAATTTTCAATTTTTAATGATTAATATGCTTTCACTTTAATAATTAATTCACTATTATCACTCTCATATGTTCCTTTTGTACATTTTCTCACCCTCTTCACACTTGTCAAATTGACACTCAACTACCTTTGTTCTCACTCAATAGCAATTTTAACCTTATCGAATTTCCAATCCATTCTTCCTTTGTCCCGTTGAGTATTACGTAATTTGTAACTTTTATTTTTACTTTTGAAGCCACTTTTGAGTAATTATATCAATAATATCCCTCCCATTACTCGATAATGGATTACTATGGATTTCTGGTAAATATAAATACAATTGCGCAGTCACTGAAGATGATTTTTCCGATATGGAAAATTTTCTTCCCTGAATTTGTCTTTTATTTTCTTTTATGACTCACTGTGTGTATTTTCGGTGTGTAATGTGTTATGTTATATTGCTTTGTGTTTACTTGTCAATTAAAAAACAGGCGACGTCTACGACCAATTCTTCTAGGTACAGGTTTAACTAGAATTCAACAATCCTTATTCACTCGTGTTGCCAATATGATACATGCACGTGTTGTCACTTCTATTTCACCTGAAGTGACACATGTCATTACTGGTGCACTTCAAGAAGCATCTACAGATTTAACTGCTGCCGGTGGTGGTGGTGACGGTGGAGAGGCGAAAAATGATACAAAAAAGAATAATACTAAATCGAAAAGAAATTCACGTTCACTTAAAAGTGTTGATGCTGAAGCAAATCAAAATTTCAATGGACAAGCAACATGTCCACGTACTTTGAAATTTTTAAGCGCCGTTTTACAAGTGAGTGGAAGCACTTGTCAATGTTCTTTTTTTTTTCTGTAATGAATACTTGTATACTCATGTTCAGAAATTTATATACGAGATAGGTATGGGAGTACCAAACGTAGATTCTTCTAAAAAGGTATTTGAAATAAGTCCTCTGGTGAACTACTGTTGTGATGAGGGCTAGCTGCCAGCCGAAATTAGTAGACTGTAATTTACGTCAATGTTTATGTCCCCAATATTGGTCATGAGAAAAATATGGACAAAGACTGACTCTACAACCAATCACAGCCGACTTTGAGTAGGTGTATACAGTTGGCAGATAGGTAATCTGAACTTCAAGAAACAGTCACAAAGAGACGAAAGATTAACGATCAGCGAGAAACCACCAATCAGAAGGCTGTGTCTGTTTGCTTACAATAATCTATAATAATGTACATGAAAATATATAAATATCTGTTGATTTCCTAAATAAACGATATGTTGCCTGGCCCTTGTCTTCTGTCATTACACTGTGTATTTAATGAAACACAGCAGTGAAATGGCTGATTTCAGTGACAGTGTAGCATTCAATCAATCGGTAACGGATTCATATTTATTCATGTTATTATGAAAACCCAAATTTCGCTACATTATGGACACCGAGAGACACGCCATACAGGATCTCATAGTTTATCCGGAAGCTAGTATACTTCCTGGACCCCAGATCGAAGCTGATAGTTGCCTTAAGATGCCAGTCTCTTCCCCCAGGCCTTTGAATTAAATTCTAATCTACAAGGCAGTGGAGTATCTTTGGGAGCTGTGTTCCAATGGTTTCCGTTGACTGAAACAGGTTCACATGCTTTTCGATTTGTTCGGATTCTGAATTTCATATACACCATAGGTTTGGAATCGGGGTTTTATAGCTCCCCTAAGTAGACCAGCATGTCCATCAGACGTTCTCACATTCCTCTTCACTTTTGTGGGGAACGCCCCCGCCACGTGAATGCAATGATTAGGACTTACTTGGCAGAGGTTATAAACACGTGGCGAAATGAGAATATTTCGAGAGGAAGACTGAAGTCTGCCCACCTATGACCATACCAAGTCGTTTATGGGGGTAATAGGTTTATATCCACTGTACCTACACACTTACTAAATAGCAAAGTGACACCACCTCTCTCTCACACACATAGATAAACCTACAAGATAAGTTCGATTTATTACACTTGTTTGTTAATCAATCGCAACCAAAGTTCTCAGAAGCAGTGGTCATATTATTGATGGAGAATTCAAATAAATTCACTTCATATTTAAATATTCAATGAAGAGATCAAGAATGACAATGAAAGCTTCGCGATTAAACTACCCACGTCAGAGAGTACAATCACACCAAAATCATTCAGTTGAGCTACGATTCTTCTCCGTTATTCCAAAAGTTCCATTTTATCGGTTTACTGAATTATTTATCCTTCAACCGTCATTATTATCAGTTTTGCTTTTGAGTTATAAGAAAAATATGCTTTCTATGATGTAATATCAGTTACTAAGCTCTTAAATTATATTGAAGCACCTTTGTATTAAATTAATCTGAGATGTCTCGTGCAATTTTTTTTGAAATCTTTTCCCAACTGGTATATTCTATCAGTTGAGTTTGTTGTTCATAAAATCAGTTGCCTTCCCACTACTCACAAATTTTTAGACTAAGTCAAAGTTTTCTGAATAACGCCTCTGAAAATCATTTGTAGTCCGGCCAGCATACGACGTTTTGAAAACATCAGTCCTTATATGGTCACCGAAGTTAAGCAATGTTGGACCGGTTTAGAATACCGGATATCGTCGACTTTTGCGTTAGTAGTTCAGCGGTAAAATGCTAGTCAGTCATATGTGTGGTCTGAGGTTCGATTCCCGGCTGATGCACTCTCAAACCTCGCCTAGTTTGCTAGCAAATAGTAAACTGGTAAAAGCAGGGAAGTTAAGCGTGAGGCTAGCAACCGGAATCCATGAAAGCAACATTCGCTGGTGAAAATTTCAAAAGTTTGTAGTCGTTTTTGTTCCACTGAGAACGCAAAGGTGTTTGCACTTGCTTCATCGATTTCTGTACTAAAAGAGTATTACAAAGACTAGGCAAAGCTGTTAATAATTTACATAATTAACATCGCACCGCATGAGCATACTCTTCGATAACGGATGAGAAAGAAAAAGAAGAAGAAATATCAAACATTACTGAAACTCTTAAGCAAAACAACTACCCATGGAACTTCACGAACAAAATCATCACAGACATTAAATATGGTCGAAAACGTATTCTGAAGACATGGATCTCAACACTTGTCCTTCCATACTGAGCAGAGACGTCGGACGATATCAGAAAAGTACTCACTAAGCTCGACATCAGATTTTTCTTCAAAACACCAGACACACTGCAAAGCAACCTTGTCCATATAAAAGACCAAATCCCTAGAGATTTTCTATCTAATTGTGCCATAGAATAAAATGATTGGAATGTGATGCGATATACATCGGAAAAACATCACGAGAAATCAAAATTAGGAGAAATGAACACCTTAGAGCCGCCTCCGTTCGACCAACTAGAAATCCACTTGAACTATAAAAGCCTGAAAAACTACCAGCCATAGGTCTACACCCTTATAGAATCAGGCCACCAAACTGATTTTGACAATATTAAAATAATCCAGAAAAATTTCAAAAGACACAAAGAACGTCCCATTTCATCAGAAGCACATCATATCAGACGGAATCCAAATTGTCTGAATAGGAATGATGGACTAAAACAGAATTTGACCTGGTTATAACACCTCCGCCCTCCCTCATGAAATGACAGAATCAACAGGAATGTGATAAGCATTTTCATTATGTAAACACACGCTGCTTTTATAATTTTATACACTTATCAAATCCAACAATCTACACCTGGTTTTGTTATCTTTACAAATTGGCCAATTTGTCAACGCAAAAATTCCCCCCTGCTGATGAACGATGATTAAGTTGTTATACATAAGCTGAGATTTTGTAAATTCTGGTTTAATATTACTACTTTGATAAAGCTATTAGTATTAAATAGCGAAACGTCAGTAAAAACAAGAATATCGTTTTGTTTCTCATTCATTGGGATCGCGCTAAATCATGAATTGATAGAAGTCAGAATTTATGAGCCATTGAATCGGATCCCATTGGCTGAATGGCATATAAGCTTGCCTTATAACCGGAAGGTCCTGGGCTCGAACTCCTGTGGTGGGTGCGTACTGCCGGTGATTCCCAAACTGGGATGAAACAGCTATCCAATACTCTCTGCTGGTTTTCAATGGCTCTCTAACTGATATCAATCCGTTATCAACTCGTAAAATACAAAAAACCATTATTATAAAGTCGGGATATAGCTGAAATCGATTTCGGTGGAGGAGAATCGATACGTGTTATTTCGCTTCTTTTTGAAGTCATTTTTTTCGTTTTTATTCATTCATTTATTCTTCTTCTTCTTTTCACTATTGATTTCATATTAAGGGTTGTTGGATCTTGTCATTTGATTGGATTGAAACTTGTGCTCATATTAAAATGCGTGTAGAAGAAGAAGGTTTTGAAGTAACTGGATGTAGTACTGCGCCGATGTCTGGTGCACCTCGTCGAGCTCGTCTTGCTCGTGAAGCTGGTTCCTTGGGATTACTCCATGGTCAGAGGATTTGTTTCCTAGTAAGTGTCGTGTAGAGTTGTTTTTTTCTTTCTCTAGAGTCCCGAAAGGTATATTTCTTTAAATTTTATCGTATAATTAACAACAAACAGAAATCTTTATTCTTGATCTGATCATTTAGTGGAATTTATTTATGAAAATGCAAACAATTTATAGTTCCTTTAATTGAATTTTAGATTTTCCCGTCGATTGATTGGACCAAAGTACTCGATCTCAGGTTGACATGTTGTCTTCTTGTGCAGATGCTTCGATAATTTCTGGGCATGTAATTAGAAGTTAATTAGTAGATGGTGACTAGCAGTGGAAGCCAGGGTGCGCGTTTCGTCCTATTTGGGATACATCAGCTAACTAGATGTACCTGCATTGCCCAGTGAATAATGATGTTCCTACCGAGGCTCGAACCCAGTGCCCATAGTTTCAAAAGGTGGTCCAAGTGGTCTAGTGGATAACGCTTTGGCGTTTGAAACTATAGCCACTGGGTTCGAGCTCGTTGGGAACACCACCACTTACTGCTAAATGCAGGTTCACCCATCTGACGAGTACCAGATGGGCGAAATGCGCATACTGGATTCCACTGATAATCATCGTCCACCAATTAACTTCTAATTAATAGTTCCCGTTGACGTCGGTGGCACAGCTGTATAATGCCCGCCAACCATGCAGATGGTCTGCGGTTCGATCCCCTCCCGGCTCACTCCTTTACCTCACTAAGCCGGTAATAAGACTGGTAGTGACAGAAGGTTGGGCGTAAGGCTAGCAATCCCATCTCGTAAAAAAAAATACCACTGCTATCGAAGCTTAAAAGCTGTAGCTTGAAGTCCGAGGTTCCACTGGGAACACAAAGGAATTTCTAAAAATTTGTTTCCATATTTCAAAGATACCTGAGACTAAATAACCAAAAAGGATAAACAACAAGGAACTCTGACAGCGATACAACTAGGAACCTATTGCCCAAGAAATATACAGTGAGAAGTGCAGATGGATTCGGTATACAAAGAGAGAAGACCATTGGACGACATCACACGCCAAGCTTACAAGTGAAAGTTGAATGGGAAGCAATGAAGCTGGTGTCCGAAGGGGAGAAGATCATGTGAGGAGGAAATAAAAGGTCGTGGAGTCAACTAAAAAAAAAAAACAAAGAGTGTAGAAAAGGAAGTGAAGCGAAGTGTTACTGAAGCCGTATGTTTCACTAGGAACCCAAGGGAATCAATCACAATACAATGAGTAAATTCTAATGATTCTTGCACTACATAATGAATTGTTATTGGGATATATTTCTGTTTTGTTTATTAAATCCCTCTTACTTACTATTTTTAAAGAGTATACTCAGTATATGTCGTAAATCATACGAAACAGTCTGTGGCTACATTTATTTCAGTACAATTCAGTGAATTGTTGCACATGACTGTTTTTTTATTACCTAATCCTTAAGTAGTTAAGAGCATTTTCTCATATGCTTTCTGTCTGGAATTGGTATGTGCTATTAGGATATATCCCCATAAAGATGACAAATCTATGAAATGTCTTATTTCATTTCCGATTTCCTATTGATGGTAACGCTTTAATCACACATTCACGAGGCTTTGAAATTACATCGACTGAGATGGTTGGGATATGTGTTACGTATGCCTGGTCACCGCCTTCCTCGACCGACGTGCAAAGTTAGTTGATATAGGGTCAGGCTGGAAAAGAGCTAGCCAGTGGCGGTCAAACCAAAACATGGCTTCATCAGTCAATGAAATCTACAACTGTTAGTTTAAGCCACGTAGGAAGGTGTAGACTTCCTGACTGGTTGGGGTCCTCGGGACTGTAAAAACCAATGGTTGGAATCAATTGGTGATATGGCTCAAAATCGTTCTCAATGGCTGGCTGGCGCAGATGCATCCACTCCTTGTGACTTATGATTTCCAATGAAACTATATTGTTCTTCGTTATTACTATTCCTTTGTCTCACACCTCTGTTTACTCTCTCTATTATGCATTTCTTCTACTTTCTTCTCTTGCTTTGTGTGCTACATGGAGTGTGGTGACTCGAACTGTCGCACATCGGTGCAAAGTTCTATGTCGAAAACAGACAGACACATGCATATTAAAAAACACTTGAGAGTACACTCTTGGTGTCATAAATATAATCATAGTAGATAATCCCTGTATGGACATTAGTGGGGAAAACACAATAAAAGTTACCACCAACCCAAATAATTTCACTTGAATCCTTAGACATCGTCAAAACATCCATACTTGGGGCCGATATGTCTATAAAAAGATCGAGCATCATTCAACGGTGAAATCAAATTGAACCCGAAAACAGCAAGTAACTTGATGAAAAGTCTTGTTTCGTTTCATTTGATTTTATTTAGTTGTGCAATCGCCTGTATCTACAACCTTTTCATGAAAGAGGATGATATCGAAAGAGATGAATTGTCATAAACAGAATCGCTGGTGCTATGAATCATCAGTATGGAAGATAAATTAAATAAGGGTAATAGGGGGTTATGTAACTCTTTCAAGCTGTTACGCAACGTTTCATTGCTTTTGTCCCCTATATGCACTTTAATTACAACTCCATTCATCAGGTGACGTAATCCCGCCACCTGTGTTCAACGCCCATTGTGCATTGATTAACCATATCAACAAATATGTGTATGACAACTGATCTCTTTTGTTACTCTATCGCCTTTTATGAGAAAAAAAAGATGTATACAAAGGCTCCTTTTTAGGTTTAATATCGGTCGGTATTGTAGGTGAGGTTCAAGGGTGCGTCTATTGGGAATCGAACCTGAACCTTTTGTGTGGGTAATTCGAAATTTTACCAGGGTGGTGTCGACGCACAAACATACTCTTATGAGCATTATAAAACCCTGGTACATATCGAATTAGTATAGTTCAATATTGCTATTTTATTTTGCATTGAACGCTGTACTGTTTTTCATTAATAATATCCTCCTCCTTTCTTAAGAAGTCTACTCTTATCTTTACTAATAAACGAACGTATTTTAACTAAGATTATGATTTGTACGATTGTTTATATACAATTTGTGTCTACTGAAATTTAGTCACTAAGTAAAGAGTACTGTTTCAGTATCTGTCAGGACTTTAGTCAAAGGTGTTTGTTTCTAGGTGCAATATATCTGTATGCGCATACGTCGGTGGTGTAATGAGAGAATGCTCTCCGACAATGCACGTGGTCAGGGGTTTGATTCTCATCTGGTGCATTCCTCAACTTCACCTAGTCTACTAGTCAACAGTAAGCGCGGAAAACAAGCGTAGTTGGGCATGAGGCTAGCGACCCCACCCCTGTGAAAACAACGCCACACTGCTGCTGAAACTTTGGAAAGCTTGAAACTTTATGTTCCGCTTGGAAAGCAAAAGAATGAAAAATTATATGTTCAGAGATATGCCTCATTCAGCCTAAGCACACGGCCGTCAGCTAATCAGTTTGGGGTTCGAATCCCATTATATGTACTTCATTCTGTGCACTTTAGATGTAGTATTGGCTTTCACTGGAGCGACTCAGACAAGTTTTTATAGAGTAAGAATATCCTCCAAGATTTATCGAGAAAAACGTTAAGTTAAAGAAAAAGCCTGAAACAACCCAGATGATGCCTAAGAAACTCTTGTTTATGAATGGTGAATTTAAAGGCGATACCGCAGCTGAGATCCTGAAAAATAGCTTATGCAGATCACTGAATATCGCCTTCTTTGTGGCCGAACTACAGATCAATTTCTACAGCCTCTTTGGGCCACTTCAATGTGTGTTTATCAATTCACTTGTTCCTATGGAGTTATTTATATTGGCCACACAAAGCACACCCTTTCCAAATGCATCTCTAAACATTATCCGGTATGGTTAGCAAAAGGGTAATGCAAACAGTTACTAGCTCGATTCTCGAGCACTTGGTGAATTCAAGCCACGCAACTTCCACTGGAGTCGTCCTCAAGATTATCTACAAGGTGAGGTCAAATTGTACAAGGGGCGTCAGGTTTCGGCATTCGTGTATGGCGAAGGCGCTGGCAATTCAAGAACATAACCCCGAACTCCGTATACAGGGAAATTTTGTTCAGTCTCTTGACCTCAGCCTCTTCACTAGTCATCCCCTGTAAAAAAAATTCAATTTTTCTAATTTTCGATCTCACTTATAGTTAAATGGACATTCAACTACCTTTTCTCTCGCTCAATAACACTTTTAACCTTATCAAATTTCTACGCCTTTCTTCCTCTGTGCCATTGATCATTACGTAATTTGTAACTTTATTTTTACTTTAGAAGCCACTTCTGAGTAATTATATCAATTATGTCAACGCCTGTTACTCAATAATAGATCACTATACATTTTTGATAAATATAAATATTCGAAAGAATTGATACTGAACAAAGAGTACTCTTTTCGATAAATTCATCATCAGGCTCTACAGTTCTATATACATTACATTGAATGAATGAATTAGTGTTATGAACGACATTAATGCTTAAATAACATCAAATCAATAATATTCATAGATTACAGCTCAATGGCATCAACATAAAATAAGCTGAATGTCAGAAGAATTAGGAAGGATAATATTACAAATTCATGAATTTATAGTCTCTACTGAAGGCTGACTAGGGGAGTAGTAGTGCTGGCTGGACTTGCTTCTCCTCAACACAGAGCACCAGTTGTTTCACGCGAATTGCTATAATCTCTGCTGTTTGGAGTCTGCGGTGCTTCGGTGTTTTTGGTAATTTATTTGGCACCCGGTATAATATAGAGAAGGATTCTTCTACGCTGGCTTTGTGGCCTGTTTGCACCAGAAGTGTAGTGAAAACTATTAACAGCTCGATATTGGAACATCTGGTGCAAACAGGCCACAAAGCCAGCGTAGAAGAATCCTTCTCTATATTATACCGGGTGCCAAATAAATTACCAAAAACACCGAAGCACCGCAGACTCCAAACAGCAGAGATTATAGCAATTCGCGTGAAACAACTGGTGCTCTGTGTTGAGGAGAAGCAAGTTCAGCCAGCACTACTACTCCCCTAGTCAGCCTTCAGTAGAGACTATAAATTCATGAATTTGTAATATTATCTTTCCTAATTTTTCTGACATTCAGCTTATTTTATGTTGATGCCATTGGGCTATAATCTATGAATATTATTTATTTGATGTTATTTAAGCATTAATGTCGTTCATAACACTAATTCATTCATTCAATGTAATGTATATAGAACTGTAGAGCCTGATGATGAATTTATCGAAAAGAGTACTCTTTGTTCAGTATCAATTCTTTTGAAAATTTTAATTGGCATTTTTAATCAGTTAAAATATAAATATGACTGTACAGTCAGTGAAGATGATATCGTCGATAAAGAAAATTTTCTTCGCTGAATTTGTCTTTTATTTTCTTAATGACTTAACGGATATTTTCGGAGATTTACATAATGTTTGTGTGTGTGTGTGTGTGTGTGTGTGTGTGTAACTCGCGGTCAGAAACATGAGAAAGTGTTTTTTGCTCCGAGTAACTGAGTAATGTATAATCGTTTTTCATTGGTTTACTCTCTATCACTTCTGTTGGTTACTTATCGTTATATATATTTTTTATCCTTCAGGGGAGTTTCTTATATCCTGTCCCGTCAAGAGATGAACTCACTCGATTAGCACGATCAGGTGGAGCAAGTGTAGTATTTAGTCGTGAAGTATGCTCTCCAATTCGATTGGCTAGATATGCTGTAGAATCTGCGAATAATTCATCTGTCTGGGATTTGAATATTGACCAGATGAATACAGGTGACGAATGCGATCAAGGTGTGGACGAGAGTATATCGTTTATAGATGATATGACTTTGATGGAATCTGATACTCCATCTTCATTACTTGTCTTATATGATCCTGGTGTTTATCATAAATCATCGACAAATACAACGACACTTCATAAAACTATTTATGCTATAGAAACTGTTTCTAAGGCTTTAAATTTAATTAAACCGAAGAAAAATGCGATTGCATCATCATCCGTTGACAGTTTACCACCACCTCTTCAATTGGTACCGTGTACTTGGCTGTTAGACTGCGCTGCAGAATATCGTCTACTACCATTTCCAAGTGTTAATGTCGTTAAATGATGATTACACCTTTGTGGTGCCAAATGATTTGATTAGTTTATTTCTTATCTATTGTGTAATATTTATCTAGCTTTCTATCTGTCATTAATCTAAACTAGTGATTTTACCCCCTATCGCCATCCTATCTGACGACGATTATTTTAAATCTGACAGAAATTTTAACATATATATTTTTTTGTGAAATATATTTCAATTCTTTTTACTTTTTTTATAATTGAAAATTTTACCTGAACTATTTGTGAGTACATAAAATGTGTCTATATTTAATAATAAGTTGTCTTATTGTTTAAGCTTAACTCAGTCACCCGGCTCTCAGTTTTTTTCATTTACTAGGATACTACTACTGATGGAATTGACCCTAACGGACTGACTTCAACGACTTAGGGATTCACCTGTTACCGGGGGATAAATAACCTTGTTGATTTAGAATATGTGCAGATGATATAATCCACCTAGGTGATAAAATGTAGAGTTTTAGGGACACCTTAAGCAGAAATCTTCGAATGTTCGGTATGCGATTTACTCCTATGAAATGTAAGATGATACGATGCTGCAAGAATGGACCACATCGGCTTCTAGTTTAAATATTGATTGATGAGGAAATCTCAGCACGGATACAAAAGGCTTATGTGTGACTTGCTAATTGGCATCATCTCTGACGTAGGCGTGATATCCAGCTGGTTATCGATCAAAAGATGTGTGCACTACTACTCAGCAGTCCACTAGGTCCTCCTTCATGGCCGATTAGCTATCTTTGATCGTAAGTGTCTGCGTTCTATCTCGCATGTTAATTGGTACAATGGGATAAGTAATATTGAGATTAGGCACCGAGTGTTAGGTGGGAAAGTCAAATCAATTGATGAGGTTGTGAATGTAAGTCGATTGAGATGACTAGGATATGTGTCACGCATTACTAGCCATCGTCCTTCTCGATGGGGAATAGTAGCTGACATTTGATGAAGTTTGAAAAGAGCTAGTGGTGGTCAAACCAAAATGTGCAATCAGTTTATGAAATCTTTGACAGTTAGTTTGAGCGGGTGACGTGTAGAATTCCTTAATGGCTAAGGTCATCGGGATTTTCAAGCCCAGTGGCTGTTGATATGGCTCAGATGCATTCACTCTTTGTGATTTCCCATATCTATTAAACCCTCACTTTTTTCTTATGTTACTATTCTTTCGCTTTTACATTTGTGCTTATAATTGTTCTGTTGAATCTCCTTTGTGTGCTACATGGAGTCTGACAATCTGAAGTGCTGTACTGCTGTGCGAATTCCTTTGTTGAAACCAATCAGTCAGGGTATCTGTGGGATGCAATTGTCGATTCACGGCTACCCAGGCTGAATTAGACTAAGTGAGAATCGCTGAGCCACATTTCAACTTTATCGTCAAAAAAAGAAACGTAGGTACAATAGGTGGTATATATATTATTCAGTTTATCTTCAAATACAAAGATATGTCTGTCTTACGTCCCTATACGAATTCATAGGTTCAGACGTAATGCAACAATGCAGTTAAGAATACTTTCTGTGTACTGTTAGCTAACTGATAAACGAACAAATCAATAAGCAATACTTGAAAATCAATAACCATTCTATCAATGAAAGGAAGAAACAAGACTTGCTCATTGAAGGCGACCTTTTAGTATCTCAATAACAGACTAATTGATGGAGAGGGATTATGAATATACATCATGATGTCATCCATCGATTAGATCATTTTGAATAAAGCAAGAACAACAATTGTACCAGGATAATATGACCTCATCTTTTATTATTTCGAGGATTCTTCTCAACTGGTTACAACCTGAACGTTAAAAAATATGAATTACATTAAAGATATGAACATACTTTAATAATAATAATAATTTTTGCTTTATTCCCAAAACAGTACTAATGATACAGCAAGGAATTTTCAGCATTCAGTACAATATTGCATCTGATTTACTCAAAAAGGACAAAAAAATTAAAAATACACATTACATAATAGTAATAAAACGATTGTTATAGCAGCTACATAGCAAAATACTGTGTGCCATACGGAGAAAAATATGCATAAAGTACAAAATTGTAGTAATAATAGTAATACCAACTAAAATAAAATGGCAGAGTAATAATTAAACGATAGAAAGTGTGACACCATAAAATACAGAAAGATGAACGATGAAAGGGTCGATTCACTGTGCTAATTACATAGTAACTTATAAGTTTCACGTCTAACAGAGTCTTCGTCACATAAAGTACGGGCTAAATAGGGTATTGTAGAATTTCTGTACTTAGTGGTACGAGCATATAACTTTTTATATTGACTTCTCGTCCTACCTGATGAGATACAAGGGGACAGGTGTGAATAAAGGGGGTGCAGAGGGTCTGACAGTATAGCCTTTGCCCATTTCGTACAGGAATTTATATGCCTCTCGACTATAGTATTAGCGAGTTCATGCAGTGGCAGACCACAAGCTCTACTCACAGCATTTAATACTCTTCGTAATATGATATAATCTTTTTTGAGAAGCCCAGGAAAGATCAACGGAGAGCAATAGAGTACAATAGGTAAAATACAGGAGTTTAAAAATTGCAAAACTAAAGGTTGGTTGATACCTGATTGTCTTTTTTCCAGGATTACAAGGAGTAATTGCTAGGAAGTAAAAGTAACATTAGTCCGGAATGATTTAACTAATTAAGAGTTGCAAACACTGACTATTTATAGAATAATTAGACAATTAGGCTTGGAAACAAAAAAACAAGGTTTAGCTAGAAGAAGCATAACAAAAAGTAGATTACGCAACTAAAGAAAACGTCTTATCTAATAGCCAATAGAAAAAAGGACAGAAAAAAAACGAGATAGGGTGAGTCATGTTTATAATTTTCATAACATAACATAACAATTTCGCTTTATTCCAGAAACAGTACTTGTGGTACAGTGTGGAATTTTCAGCACATATCTACAATATTGCATCTAATTTCATCGTACATTTAAAAGGAGTATTACAAAAAAAATAAAATATATAAAAAAAACAACAAAAAAACCAAAAAAGAAACAGAAATAACAAAAAAACAAAAAAAAAATGCAAATAAAAATACCAAGTAGAAAGGAAGATAAACACCAATAATGAAAAAATATTTCAGTATTGGGTAGTGGAAGCTATGATATGTGTATGCGTGGTGAACAGTAACAGCTATAATCATACAAGAAATTATGAGATGTTCTTAAGAATGTTTATAGCCAAGATGATCAGTTAATTTGATTGAACAACACTAAACAATCATAAAATAAACATTTCAGGTTGTTTTTTTTTTATTGTCAGCACTAATGCAGTGTTTGTAGTGGTAGTGTGAGGAATCATGCATAATACAAAATTTTTAAGATGGTGATAGTGGCGTTCACAAACAAGATTGTCAGTTAAATAGTGCCGAACAAAGAACAACCACAAAAACTAATATTACATGATGGTTAATGACAGGACAATTTTGTAATAATCATAGTGATAATATAGTCGGACCCAGTAGATATACAAAAGAAGGAATAGAGTAAAGTACAAAAAAGTAAGCCAATGATAATAATTTTAAGTAGCTAAGTATGTTTAAGAAGGTTGTTCACTATAGAGTACAAATAAGAGAGTATAAGGGGGAAATAACAAGGGCCAAAATTATGTTATTAACAACAAAGCAAGTCATAGGTTTCACGCTTAACATTGTCTCTGTCACTTAGAACACGGGCCAAATATGGTATCGTTGAGTTCCTATACTTGGTTGTACGAGCATATATTATTTTGTACTGATTTCTGGTTCTACCTGATGAGATGCAAGGAGAGAGTTGGGAATAGAGGGGGTGTTGGGGGTCAGAGAGTATGGTTTTAGACCATTTCTCGCATGTATTCAGATGCTTATCCACTAATGTTGTGACGAGCTGACTGAGTTTTACACCGCTAGTCCTACTAACTACCTTCAACATCCTTCTCAGGATGGTATAGTCCTTTTTCAGTAACCCAGGAAAGACTAACGGGGAACAGTAAAGTAGAATAGGTAGGATACGAGAGTTGACAAATTGTGAAAGCAGAGGTTGAGGGACTCCAGTTAGTCTGAGTTTCTTAATGTAGTAGGTTAGACGAAACACTTTCTTGGAAATCATTTGGATATGAGATGACCAGGTAAGGTCGGAAGATATAACTAATCCGAGGTATTTTGCATTAGACTTTGTTTCAATTATAGTCCCCTCAATTCTACAGGCATCATGAGTGCTTACTAGTGTTTGTAGATCTCGTTTATGCCTAAAGGAGAAGTCGACAGTCTGGCATTTTGAGGGATTCAGCGTTAGGCCATTTAGTTTAGACCACTGACTGATGTCCGACAGGAAGCTATTTAATTTGAAGCAGTCTGACTGAGACTTAACGGGAAGCGAAACAGTCAGGTCATCTGCATATTTGACGAAGTTGATTTCGTCTGAGAGAGGTAAGTCATGTAAGAAGAAGGAAAAGAGAAACGGCGAGAGAACAGCACCCTGAGGAACACCAGCTTCAGTAAGCAAAGGAGAGGAAGCTACACCATTATATACCGTGTACTGCATCCTATTGGAGAAGTAAGAGTGCAGCCAGTTGATAGCCCAGGACTCAGTTTGTGTAAGGCTAAGCTTGTTTAACAAAAGGCCTCTAGGTACAGAGTCAAAAGCAGATGTGTAATCAAGGAAAGTACAACGGACATACTTGGCCCCTTTGTCTAAGGAGGATACAATGTTGTGATGAAACACAGCAGCAGCATCCAAAGTACTTCTACCCTGTTTGTAAGCAAACTGCTTTGGATCGTTTGAGAAGCTTAGGGAGGGAATGAGTTTTTGTAACAGTAATTTC